ATTAGCAGTTGGCTTATGCCCTGGAGCATGACATTTTAGAGCCCTTGTAAATTTGCTTCAGGAGTGGAAAGAGTACGGAGGAGGGGCGGGCGCTGGTTTTTGTCAGGGACCTGCACCAGCCCGTGGCTCCTCGCTGCCTCTCCCTGCAGCCGGGGAGATGCCACCAAACCCACAGGCGGCCCCAAACCCACTGCAGGGCACCTCTTGCAGCTGCCCTGAGGGGCTCAGTGAGGTCTCTGCAGGGAATTTGGGTGGGAGGCTGAGGATTTAGGGCAGCAGCACGGCTCCTGCTTCATTGCTCAGGTTCCTTCTGGATGAGGACAGGCCACTTGGAGCTGACCATGGGCACTTGGGGCTCACCATGCGCACAGGGTACCTGTGCCACGACCTGGCGCTCACAGATCCTTTTTTCCATATTTTTCAACCATGTGCCTGTAACAGGTAATGGAAAATAAAGAGAAAATCCCCTCTGTGGCAGGTAGAGACCCCTTCCACTGATTTCATTAGCCATCAGCTCAGGGAATGGCACTCGGGGCACCCTCACCAGCTCAGAGCAGAGATTTGGGGATGGGATCCAGCAGGGAGCGCCGAGGCTGCCACGAAATCCCCCCCCGCCTATTGTTTGCATCCAAACGCAACTGCAAATTGACACGGGACGTCTTTGGGGATCGGCCCTGCTCCGTCAGCACAATGAGCCGTTGTTGATACGGCCGCAGCAATTTTCCAGGTTAATTTATGGCCGCCACACCCCATTAGCGGCAATAAATGTGGAGCCCGGTTTTGCCGAAATTGTGAGTTACGATTTTTCAAATAAATACATTTTCCTATAAACCAGCGCTCTGTTTAGCTTGAATGTTCCTCACAGACACATCCATCTACATAAAATACACAGGAGAGGAAGCTGAGCTGTGACTTTGCTCTGATGACATAAAAACTTCTGTAAACACGATGTCATTTACAGTACGCGCGAGGAGAGAGGAAAAAAATAAACACCGAGCGCCTGGCGCATCCCTTCAGGAGCACATGGAAAATTTAATAATCTTTTTTCCATAAAGCTTTGTTTTCCTTTTGATTTATCCAGACAAGGCAGGGGCTGCTTGGCCATAAATAGATTGTATTTCTCGAGAGGCAATGGTTGCAGTCATCCTTTATGTGGCGGGGAGGGCAGGCGCGGGAGACGTGTATACAGAGGAGATGCCAGGGATAGCTGCTGGGAACAGGGGGGCTCGGGCTCGGCACGCCACGGCCACCGCAACGGGACATGCCTGGGGGTGAGGAGCCATGGGGTTTGTCCCCAGATTCCCCCCCCATTCCTCTGGCAAGGCTTTGGCAAGCAGCAGCCTGTCCCTGCGCTCGCTTAATAGTTTGGGAAGGAAAGGAAAACCCTTTTGGAGTCCTCTCCAGAAGTCTAGGGAGGCCGAGAGCTCTGTGCTGCTGTCACCTTGGGACAGAATTTGGGGTTGGGAAGGCAGTGGGACGAGGAGGGGCCGTGGCTGTGCCTGTTCAGCTTTGGGAGAGCCATGCTGCGCCCCAGGTCCCTTGCCCTGCGTTTCCAAAAGCCCAGCGGCGTGGGCACATCCCGGCGGCCTCACCGGTGCCGTGACAGCAGCAGCGGGACCACAAGCAGCAGGTTTGGAGCCCGTGCTGGGACAGGCAGCAGCTCTGCAAGGGCTGCGTGGTGCTCTGCTGTGATGCTCCAGCACCTCGCCTGGGTGCAAGCAGCCCCCGTGCCTCCAGCACTCACCTGTGCACCCAGGCAGGGTTTCGAAGCTGCAGCGCTTGGAGCCAGCCCCGCTCCACCCCATAAACCCTCCCCAGAACCACGGCCCGCCCTGCCTCAGTTTCCCCAGGCCTTCTGCAGCCGTTCCCCGAGGCTTGGAAGAGCAGCCAGGCTGGGAGGTGCTGAGTGATTATTATTGCGTTATTCCAGGCCGGTGCTATAAATACCCGGGGGCACCTTCAGACACAACCCAGCTGCCCCGGGCTCAGCCCCGCTCCTGCAGGGGGGGCTCGGAGGCACGGCTGGGTGCGGAGCTACCCGGGGGCACAGCCTGCCCTGGGGAGGGGGGCAAAACCCCATGGGGAGGGGGGCATCGGGGCCGGATCCTTCCCGGCGGCGCCCCTGCAGGGAGACGCTAGCGGGGAAGACAAGGGGAATATTTTACGGGGCTGCAATGTAAACAGAGCTGGAGCAGAGCCCCTTTTTATGGAGTCCCTGTCCTGCCAGGGCATCTGCCAAGGCCCTGATTTACGCTCCTATTTAGATAAGGGAGCAGGGGAGGGGGGAGAAGAGCTGGCGTCAAAGTCACAGGACACCCTGCGCTGCCGCGCGCCGGGCGCTGATAAGGAGGTGGCCGAGGGTTTGGGGCCGAATCCGCAGCCCCACACCGGGCAGGTGATGGGAGCTGAGCGGGGAGGCTCCCGGGGTGCCGGGGGCTGCAGAGACCCTCGATAACCTCCCCCCGTGGCCATGTGTGGCACCGGCCCCCTCGCCCCCGGCTGGCTGCGAGGGCAGGAAGCCTTTCCCCAGGAAGGATTTGAAGGAAAACAGGTGGAGAGAAACCCGGCTCCTCCGCGATGCGAGCCGTAAATCGCCCGATCCGAAACGCTCGGCGTTTCCCCCCAATCGCGGGCGGGGAGACGTGAAATTAAAGAAACTCACCAAAAGCTTGAGAAGTGCTAAATTTGGACGCCATGACAAAGGCAGTCTGGTTTGATTTAGAAGGTGTCGGAGTGAAAAGGGCTCCGGTTTTATTATTTTATTAAAACGCGAAAAGATTAGAACGATTTTCCAAAGGAAAAGCACCACGCTGGTCCCGCTATTTGCTCAGCTGAGCCCCTCCAAAAAGCACAGGGTCCGGGGACCTCTTTTTTGGGGGGGATAAAGCAGGATAATGCCCAGGTTGGGGCTGGGCTCACTTCCCTCTGGTGTTGCTGGGCCGAGGCGATGCTGTAACGCCCAGCTCCAGCAGGATGAGGTTGTCAGCAGGCTGTGCAATGCCGGGCTCTGGTGATGGGAGGCTTTTGGGCAGCCCCCAGCCCAGTGGTTTGCTGAATCAGGGCTTTTTGGGGCTGGGGAGGGGCTCAGTGAGGAGGCTGGGGATTGCCAAGGGGACCTGGGCACCGTAGGCGATGCTGTGCCCGCACCCTGCGGCTCTCCCAGGCAGGCACCAGCACCCCACGGCCCCACGCAGGGCTCGGGGATCCCACCCAGACCCCGGTTTGGGAGGGAATGGGGCGGTGTGGGGGGGACAGGGGGGGACACGATGACTTATCCAAGGCCCGACTCCAACAGGCGGGGTAATCGCTAGCAAATGTTTGCAGGGCGCTTGTATAACGCGGGAGGGGAAGGGGGGGGCTTTGCATCATCTAAGAAAAAAGCAGGGGGGTGAAGCGGGGCTGAGCCAGGTTGCTCCCCCCCCAGCTGCTGGGGCCCGGCAGCAGCAGAGACCCCCTCGCACCCTGCCCCGGCTGACCGGGATGGGGGCTGGCCCCCGGCCTCCTGCCTTTGCAACTCGCCTTGTAAGAGCTAACGATGGAAAATCCGAGGCATTTAAGTGGCTCCCGAATCCGCCCGGGAACCGTGATTGAGAGAAGTCAAATAAAATTTGTCATCTTTAAAATGCAGGAGGACGTTAATGGTGTGTTAGCCCGGATGATTAATACAAGCGCCTGCAAACAACCCTCCAACGTTTCCACCCTCCGCTGCAAGATGAATCGCTGCAAAGCGCCGCTAATCGCTAACATACCTCGGGCCCAAAGCCCCTTCCTGCCCCGCCGTGCCACGATCGCCACCGCAGTGCCCGGGCTGTCCTCACTGGGGCAAACTGGGGAAGGTCCCATCGTCACCTGGCCGGGCTGGGACCTGGGTGCTGGCACCCCAGCAGCCGTCACCCGTGGGTGCAGGGGAGAGCGGGATAATGGCCCCAGCAGGGCTCAGGTTTGGGGCTGCAGCGGGTACAGGTTCCCAGCCCCAGTGGGACAAACTGGGACAAACTGGGATGGGGTAACACAGGGCACGTCCCCTGAACCCACTGCCCTGTTGTGTTGCATATGTTTGCATGCAGAGTATAATTTGTATATATTTATATGTGTGCAGTGTCTGCATGGCTGCACACGTGTGTACGTGCAAGGCCTGCACTGTGCACGTGCACAAAACGTGTGTGTGTGCAGCCCTGGGGGGGTTTGCAGCACCCTGCGCGTGGGTGCGTGCCCGTGAGCTGTGCCCGCAGCCCGTGCCCGTGCCGGTTGTGCTGTGCACAGCCCAGCGAGGCGTGCAGCACCTCCCGCTCGAGACGTGGGGGTCTTTGTGTGAGCTGCACGTGTGCGGCGGACCCGTGTGTGTGCGGCGTGCAGTCGTGCAATGCAGCGGTGTGCTGCACACGCGTGTGCAACGTGCCCCGAGTGATGGGAGCCCACCCCATGTGCCCAGCCTACGGACACCCAAAGGACACCCCGCGGTGCCTTCACCCCGCTCCCCGACGTGCTCCAAGCACCCTTGGCCCTCCGGGTGCTGCTGTGCCCTGGCCACACCGCACCGCGCTCCCGCTCTGGGTCCCTGCCCTGGGACTGCGGCCCCCAGGGGCTCTCCTGGCCCGGCCGTCGGGGATGCAACACCCGCGGCTCCCCTGCTGCCACCCCTCGCCCCCCGACGGGTGCTGCGCTCCGGGGAAGGGGGCTCGGGCACCCCCGCCACCGGCAGCAGAAAAGCGAAGGGGATCGAGCGGCGACGGGGCAGCGGCTGGGGTCCCCCCTCGGGTCACTCCTCGCCCCCTTCTCCCCGCGGGCAGGGACCAAGCGGGAGGAGAAAGCGAGCGGCGGAGGTGCGAGCCCAAAGAAACCGAGCCGGGAGCCCGGCGCACGCCCCCCTCCGCCGCCCCGCTCCCCCCGGGGCCCCCGAGCATCCTCCCCTGCCCATTGGCTCCGCGGCGGGGGGGGGAGCCCCGGGGGCCCCCCGGCCCTATATAAAGGCAAAGCTGGGGAGGCTCCAGAAGGGGTTAAAAAAAAAAAAAAAAAAAGAAAAAAAAAAGAAAAAAAAAAAGGAGCCAACAACGAAACAACCCAAACCCCAAAGCCAGCCGCCGCCGCCGCAGCCCCACGGAGGAGCGTCCCGTCGTCGCCGTCGACCTCGTCCTCGTCCCCATTCTCGTCCCCATCCCTGTCCCCATCCCTGTCCCTGTCCCCGTCCCCTCTCCCCGCCGCCCCCAGCCGGGCAGCGCTCCCCGGGCGGCCCCCGCGGCCATGGTGCGGTGCTGAGCGCGGCCCCCGGGGCCAGCGGGGCGGACCATGAACCTGGTGGGGGGCTACCAGCACCACCACCACCACCACCACCACCACATGCTGCACGACCCCTTCCTCTTCGGGCCGGCGGCGCGGTGCCACCAGGAGCGCACCTATTTCCCCGGCTGGGTGCTCAGCCCGGCCGAGGTGACCCCCGAGCTCCCCGGGCAGAGCCCTAATTACGGCCCCGCCGAGTACGGCCCGGCCGGCCAGGGGAGGCTGGAGGCTCTCAGCGGTCGCCTGGGTCGAAGGAAAGGGGTCGGGGGACCCAAAAAGGAGAGGAGGAGGACGGAGAGCATCAACAGCGCCTTCGCCGAGCTCCGCGAGTGCATCCCCAACGTGCCCGCCGACACCAAGCTCTCCAAAATCAAGACGCTGCGCCTGGCCACCAGCTACATCGCCTACCTGATGGAGGTGCTGGCCAAGGACAGCCAGCCCGGGGACCCCGAGGGCTTCAAAGCCGAGCTGAAGAAGGCCGACGGCCGGGACAACAAGAGGAAAAGGGAGACGGTAAGCGGGGGGCCCGGGCCCCTTCCCCTGCGCTGCCCGGCCCCGCTGCCCAGCGCCCCGCCGGGGCTGGGGGAACACCCTGCCGCAGATTTTACTTTTTTTTTTTTTTTTTTTCTCCCCCCTTCTTCTTCCCCTAGAAAAAAAAAAAAAAAAAAAAAGAATAAAAAAGCGGAGGAAAAGCCGCCCCGACGGCTCCGGGGCTGCGCTCCCGGCTCCCGGGCGCGTTCCCCGAGGGATTTGGGGCGGGCGGGCGGGGGGCGCTTCGTCCTGCCCCTGTCCCGGCTGCTGCCCGGGGGGAACCGCGGGTCTCCCCGCTGCAGAAAAAAGCCAAAAAGCAAAAAAAAAAAGAGAGAAAACAAATCCCCGCTCCGCTCCTCACCGCTCTTTTCTCCCCGTCTCCCCTCCCTCCCGCAGCAGCCCGAGGTCTACTCCTCGCAGCCCTTGGGCCACGGCGAGAAGAAGCTGAAGGGCCGCACGGGGTGGCCCCAGCAGGTCTGGGCTCTGGAACTGAACCCCTGAGCCCCGCTCCATGACCGACCCCTGCCCGGCCCGGAGCGCGGCGGCTCCCCCGGGCACGGGCAGCGGGGCCCCGCCGGGACGCGAGCGAGGGCCGGATCCTGCCCGCCCCGTCGGCGGCCGGGCTTAATCCACCCTCGCCCCGCCGCCTTCCTTCTTGCCTTCCTTCCTTCTTTCTTCCCTTCCCGAGCCGGGCCGGGCCGGGCCGGTGTCACTCGGTCGCTGCTGTAAAGCCCCGAGCCGCGTGGCTGCGTTGAAACTACCTAGAGGTGCATTTGGGACCGCTCCTGGGCCGGGTTTTCTACCTCAGCTCCGCACGACCACTTCCCGAGGGACCGGGCGCGCCGCAGCACGTATTTAAAAAACTGACTGCTTCGAAACCAGCCGCAAAAGCGAACGAATAAAAACTTAAACTTCATGCAAAGGCCTCCTCTCCTTCCCCGCCGCGCGAAGAGCCGTGGCCAAGCGGCCGAGGTGGTGCTGGAAGGGGCAGGGGAAGGAAGGGGCAGGGGGGCTGCAGGGCTCTGGGCACTGTGGGGGCTCCCAGCCGGGCCCCCCGCCTCCATCCCGTGTTGCTGAGGGGTTTTGTGGGGTTGAGGCTGGGTCTTCTGTCGGTGCGCTGCCGCGGGGTCGAGCCGTGCTAAGGGATTGTCTCCGCTACGGCTCGGCCGGGATCCTCTCCGCACGTCTCCTTCGGGGTTGTTTTTGTGCTGTTTGTGTGGGAACGATTTGTGTCAAGGCTGCAATGTCCGCAGGGTGAGCGCAGCCATGGGGATGGAGCCGGACCCCAGGAGGGCTCGGCTCTCTGCCCGGGTCCTGAAGGGTGACTGGGGGCAGTGGGATTCTTTCTGCCTTCTGCTCGCCCCAGGAGCTGGCCGGGTCCCCACCACGGACCCGTCCCCAGCCTGCCCCTGCCCTGCAGCCCCTTCCCTGCTGAGCCAGCCCCGACCCGCGTTCATCCTGGGGAAGGACGGCAGGATGAGGCCTCCCTGCGGGCTGGATGGAGCCCTTTTCATTGCAGCACAGGCACCGACTCCCCTGCCCCTTACAGGACCCTGCTCTCACTGGAAAACCCAGACCCTGCTCCCCCTGCGTGGCTCCAGCACTGGCAGTGCTGTGGCAGCGGGACCGATCCCTGCAGCGCTGCCTCGGATGTGTTTTGGAAGCTGCAGTGTCCCCTCCTCGCTGTCCCAGCGTGACAGGACGCAGCCAGCCACGGACACACCGATGCTCACGCAGCCCCAAATCATCCCCGTGCAGCTCTTTTGCTTCTCAGGCATAAAACTTTAATAATCGTTAATAATTAAAGCTGAATCCTCGTTCCTTTATTCCGTGCGGCGGCTTTGTTACCGAGGACTTGCTGCCACGACGTGCGCACAGGGGCTCAGGGCCGGATCCTGCATCCCCAGCCTGGCCCCGCTGCCGTTCCTGGAGATGCCGGGATCAACCCGAACGCTCGTCAGGCTGCGCAGGGCAGAGAACACTAGGATGGGGAAGAGCCAGAAATTCATTGTATGGCTAATAAGAGCTGGAAGCGTTCACTTTTCTATTTGAAAACACCTATTTTTTGTGACTAACGGAATATTAATAACGATGTGATGTCCATAAGCCAGGGCCGTGCCCATCGGGGTGTGTGCACAGCCCCCAAATGGCACGACTAAAGCTCACCGAGCACCCCGGCTGTGTGCAGCCTCCCCTTGCTCCCAAGCCTCCCCAGCCCCACTTCGCGGCTGTTTCCTCATCTCCTCCACCGAGGCGGAGAGGAAAGCTGCCTCTCAGAGCGGAGCAACCCGCCCGCGGGGGGATTTTTTTTCATTCGGGCTGTAAAAAGTTCAGCGCGACTCTGACTCCACAAGCGAAGCTAGAACGGGGCCTTTCCAAAAACAAACACATCTGAGGGAGAATGAAAAAAAGAACATTTACAGCAGATCAGCCCCAAATATCCTATTTTATGGCTAAGTTTCACAATCCCTTAAAGGGCTGGCTTTCTACGGGAACGCTCCCAAACCATCTCCATAATGCTGCAATCCAGCGTGCCATAAACGCGCCCAGCCCAGCCCCTGTTTACACGTGCCAGCCCGCATCCCCCTGCCCATATGGCACCACTCGGGGCTGTCCTGTGGCACTGGGTGGGACAAAGGGTTAACGGGGTGCTGGGACTTGCTCTGCTGTGGAGGGCAGGGGACGTGCACAGGAGCCGTGTCCTCAGTCCCAGCCCCATGGGGTCTGTTGGGAACATCACTTGCAGCCCGGGGACCCTGCGCTGCCCCACCAAAAGTCCCCGGTGTTTTTTCTCGTGTGGGTTTCCAGCTCTGCTCCTGGGACGGGGACAGGCAGCAGGGCGGGCGGTGCTCTGCCTGCAGCGGGGGGATCGCTGCTGCTCTCACCCCCTGTCTCTGGTGAGCTGTACCTGCCGGCAGCACACTTCTGGGAAATGTCTTGCCCGTGCAAGCTTCCCTCGCTCCTTTGTGATTTTCCAAGCGCAAATGCTCCGTTTCCACTTCCGCAGAGGGTTTCCCTGCCCAGCAAGGGGATTTTCCTGCGAGGTTAGATCAGATGGTGTTTGAGGGTGGGTGAAAACGAGCGCTAAACTTTTCCGGTCCCCTTGTGCCACATTCCTGCCCCAAAGGCAGGCTTTGGATGGGGTGTATTTGCAAGCAGCCCAGTGCCTGGGGATCACCGAGCTGGGGAAAAGCAGACTGGGGGATGCCCCAGAGCAGCCTCGTTTGCTCCTACAGCAAACCCCACCAGCAGGGGAGAGAAGCCCCGGCAGCCTCGGGCAGGCAGCAGCCGGTCACTCCCAGCCCCCCTTCCCTCAGCATCCCCTCTTTTTTCCCCCAGAAACATTTCCCGAGTGGCACAAGAACCTCTCACCCACCAGCTCCACGGTTTTGGCCACCTGACAGCAAAGCTCAGTGGCCAGGATCCGCACACCCACGGCTCGACCCTGCCGTGAACTTGATGCCGCGGGGAAGCGGCAGCCTCCCGGGTTGCCCGGGCAGAAGCACACGCTCGCACGGCCGCGGGGCAGCATCCTACGTGCCGCATCCCCTCCGCTGGAATCCAGCCACCGGGGACGACGGAGGGGACCCCGCTGCCCCCCGGCTCCCCCTCCAGCCAAAGGGGCAGGAGCTGGGGGCAGCGGGGTTGGGGCACGCTTCCCACCCCATGCTCTGCACCGCCCGAGTTTGGTGCGTGGAGATTCGGCTCCTCGCGTTCTTTCGCATACTTCTGCCTTCCTGCCGAGCCGAGACCCTGCTTGTTGTTGTTGTAGGTATTTATGGGCCTGTTTATCTGATCTCCGGGGAGCCCGGCCTTATCTCAGAAGCAGCGAGGGAAGGGTTACGCTGGACAGCTCGGTAGACAGTATGGAGCCAAATAAAATACCAATCTGACAAAAAAAAAAAAAAAAAAAAAAAAAAAAAAAAAAAAAGAAGGAAAGAAACACGCAGCCACTGCTCACCCAGGAGCGAGAGGGGAGCTGGAGCAAAACGGCAAGGGCTGGGGGTGTCGGTGCCCCTTGCACGGCTGGGGGCAGGGAGGGAAGGGAAGGGAAGGCAGAGGGAGAGGCACTGGGGCTGACTGGGCAGGGGCTGTGGGCTGGGACCCAGCTCAGCGCCTGCTGGCACCCGAAACAGCGGCAGAGCCGGTCCCCAGCCCCAGCAGGGACTCGCTCAAGGTCGCCCCGAAGGTCATGGCCAGGGCCAGGCAGGCTGCGGTGTCACAGAGCCAGGCCCCGGGTGGTGGCACGGGGCAGGGATGGGGGCAGTTGGTCTGGGGGTGTCCCCCAAACCTCTGCATCCCCTGGCTGGAGCCAGCGGGAGCCCCATTTCTGCTCTGCCTGCTGTAAACTGGGGCACAGCACGGCCAGCACAGGCAGGACGGGGCTGGATGGATGTCCCCGTGCAGGAGGGGACACCATGCCAAGGGGGGTGTCCCCACTCCCCAGCCTGCACCCCACTAATTACCAGCTCTTAAGGAAGCGCCCGACAGTTTTGGGCACTTAGGGTAGCCCCAGCCCCTCTTGGGAAGGGTAATTGGGCCATAATTTGTTTTCGGTGTCAAGATGGCGTCAAAGATAAGACAAAAATCTCCAGGTTTGGGGGCTAAAGAGACAGGAGAAATCCTGACCCGGGGCCGACCTCGGAGGAATGGCCACAAGCCCCAGTGAGTAACATGGCAGGTGAAAGATTTACAGCCAGGGGAGCTTTTTGATCCTCTCCCAACACTCGGAGCCTCTGAGCCCAGTTGCTGGCTCCCAAGTCAGACTGTCTCCTGCGAGTACCACTCAGGTGAAGGTTTGCTGTCCAGCGGAGGGCCCCTCAGTTGCAAAGTTCAGGGAGTTTTTCCTCAAATCTCCATGCCCGGTTCATCACGTGGTTCTGAGACCCACCCAAAGGGAAGATGCATTTCCAACCCGTAGCTGTAGAAACAGCCTCCAGGCTTGGGAAGACTGCAGCCACGAGGGCAGATAAAGGCTCCCACATTTTCGTTTTTAATTATTTTTAAATAAATCTGGCTTTGTACACTTATGGCTGCCCCTACTTCCATCCACTCCACGAAGGCCCCTTCTCCAGTGCGGGGTGTTGGGAGAAGCATTCACTCCTCTCACAAGACCTGTGCTTGGAGAGGAGTTGGCACATGTGCTTACCATGGCTTTCTCTGCAGGAAGACCCTTCCTTGTCCTGCTCAGTGGTGGAGCAACCCTGTCAGCAAGCACCTTCTCCTGCAGTGACCCTTCGTGGCCATTTTCCTGCTGCTCTTCTCAGAGCATCTCAGCACGGCCCTCAGGTGAAGCTGGATGACACGTGCCACACAGCAGCCCACTTGTGGTTATCCAGGTGGCTCAAGCTGAGGGAGCACAAAGCAAGAGGGACCGACGAGGCGGGGAAGGTCCCTGCTTGCAGTGCTTCCTTTTTGCCTGCTTGTTCTTCCTTCCACATGAGGAATTCAGGTCCTGACCACCCTGAAAGGCTTTACAGTAACCAGAGAGCCAGGGGAATTTATGGCATCACCAGTGGCTGAAAGCTGAGGAATTGAGAGGAAAAAGGATTTTTTTTTTCTTAGACTACAGCTACCCTGACAAAAATCCTCCTGGCCCATAACTGACTTGCAGGAGCAGCTAGGGGAACGCGGGTCAGAGCAGCCTGGTTTAGGTGCCTCAGCTGGGAGCTCCTTCCCAAAACAAGAAGCTGGGAGGAGTTACGAACCTAAGCTAGTGCACAAGGTTTGTATTAACCTTAAAATTCCTTCACCTGCTCAACCTTTCCCATTCAGTTCCTACTACTTTGGTCCCAAGTCTGTTAGAGAGAGTGGAGGCTTTGCTCTGAAGGATCACCAGCTTGACACAAACCCGTGCCTGGGCTGCTGCATTCAACAACTCACACTGCAAAACAGCCAGGAACCAAGCCAGCTTTTTAGGGT